AATAGCAAGAGAATGACTGTTTAGGGGGCCTGCAGTGAGGACAAGTGGTTGGAATTGGGGAACTGATGGGAAAACAATAATATATAGTTGTTTGGGTGTAGTTGAAGCAAGGGAGTGCAGCCGGAAGCTGTGTGAGGAGAATGCAAAAGGGAGATAGAGAAGATAATCACCACTAGAAACTGAGATACAGCAGAAGCACCCCCTGAAATCCTAATATATAGCCCTCGAAGAAAAGAAGAGATGTTGGCGGCTGTCCCAATATGAAACACATGAAAAACTAACTTCCAAACTATTGGAAATTTTAAGAGAGAAAAGAGAGATTTAGATTGTTGGAAATTTTGAAGAGAATGAGAATTCTATTATTAAGTTTTCCTGAATAGTTATCAGCTTACAAGACAACAAGTTATGCCTATTTATAACCATAAGAGACTAAATATAGAAATTTATAAATTCTTAAATTTCTTTCTAGAAAAACATATCTAAAGTCTTCCTATTTAAATATTCTAGAGTAATCTCATTTAATACAAATATCCTAGAATCATTTTCTTAAGACTAGATAAAATATTATAGAACATTGGTGAAATAGCATCAATCTTATAACTCCTTGATGCAAATTTCGATTTCTCCAATCTTATTGTGCAACAGTTCAAACTTTCCTCTTGGAAGTGCCTTTAACATGTCTACTAGTTGTTCTTCAATCTTTGCAGTGTTTGAGCTTAATTTTTTGATTGGTCTCGCTTCGCTGATGAAATGTTATTTAATACCAATATGTTTAGTTCTACCATGAAATATAGGATTTTTAGTTATTCTTATAGTTGACTTGCTATCACAATAGATTTTTGTAGCTCCTTTTTGTGGCTCGCCCATATCTTCTAGTATGTAGTTTTGGCTTGTAGTTGTGGTAGCTGCAATATCTTTAGCTTCGGTTAATGATTGTGCATTAGTTGTTTGTTTCTACATTGCCTAAAAAAATTCCTGAAACTAGCTTGAATGAATATCCTGAGGTGTTCATGTCTTCCACTGATTCGACCCAATCTCTATCAGCATATCCAATTAGCCTTGAGTTAGGAATGGATTCATACCAGATACAATAGTTATTTGTTCCTTACAGATATCTAAGAACTCTCTTAGCTGCTCCTTGATGAACTTTACTTAGACTTTGCATAAATCTTAAGAGTAGACTTGGTGTATACATGATGTATGGTTTCGTCGTTGTTAGATAAAAAAAAGATTTCAATAAGGCTTCAATAGAATGTGTTATTAGCCTTTAGTTCATTATCGTCCTTCATAAGTGTCTTGTTGTCTAGTGGTGTAGATACTATATTGCAATTGTTCATCTTAAAATTCTTTAAATAAAATTCTATATATTTCTTTTGTGAGATGAAGATCCCCTTTCATTTTGAATTACCTCTATCCCAAGAAAATAATGCATCAGACCTATGTCAGTCATCTCGAATGTCTATCATGTCTTCTTTAAAATCTTTGATAATTTCTCATTATTTTTTGCATAGATAAGATCATCTACAAATAGGGAGACAGAGAGTTTAGTTCATATCTTAAGTCTTGATGTATAATGTTGGCTCACTTTTGCTCCTCCTGAAGCCCTGCTATATGAAGTAGTTGTCAATTAGACTATATCAAGCCCTTGGGGCTTGCTTTAATCCATACAAAGCTTTCTTTAACTTGAGAGCTTTGTCTTCTTAAACTTATACTACAAACCCTGGAGGTTGTTCCATATAGATATCTTCTTCCAAGAGCCATTTTGAAATGCAGATTTGGCATCTAGGTTATATATATTTTATTTATTTTGTGTTGTAAGTGCAGCTAATACTCTTATTGTGTCATGTCGTGCAGCTGGAGCAAATGTTTCATTATAATTAACACCAAATTGTTGTGACTATCCTTTAAAAACCAGTCTTATTTTATATTGTTTAATTGATATAACAAGATTGAGCTTTGTCTAGTAGACCCACTTGATATTTATCTTGAAGAGTACTAGCTCCCATGTCTTAATTTTTTCAATCATATTTATTTCTTTTTATATAGCTTTTCTCCATACTTCTTGCTTTGAGGCTTCTTCAAAGCTTTCTGGCACCATGATTGTCAAGTTAAAATGCTCATAGATTTCTGCTAAAAATTATGCTCTTCTAGTTGGTGATTCAACTTGTTGATGTGTTTTTGGCACCATGTTGGCACTCATTTCAACCTTTTCTGTCACCCAATTGTATGTAGCATTTTCATCAAATTTCACATCTCGACTAACGATAAGCTTCTTCGTTCTTAAGCTATAGACTCGATATCCTTTAGATTGAGTACCATAACCTAAGAAACTTCCCTTTTATCTTTTCAACTAATTTACTCCTTTTTTTTTTTCTTGTGGAAAGTGAACTTAGCAAATACAACCAAAAACCCTTAAATTTTTTGCAAATGGCTTCTTTTCATTCCACGCTTCAATTGGTGTCATGTCTTTCATAGGCTTTAATTGGACATCTATTTAGTAAAGAGTGCAATATATATAGCTTTTGCCCAAAAAAACTTTCTAGAAGATGCATATCCATCAGCATAGTTTTAGTTGTTTCCATTATAGTTATGTTCTTCTTTTTAGATACTCCATTTTGCTCTGGCGCATACCCAACTGTGAGTTGATGTTCAATGTCTTCTTATTCAAAAGCATGTTGAAATTATTTGAGGTATATTCCTCACCTCTATCACTTCTTAATATCTTCAGATAGTAATCACTTTGTTTTTCAACATAAGCATTACATTTTTTTAAAATTTTTTATCGTTCTCGCAAGAAATAGACCCATGTCATTCTTGTGTATTCATCAATGAAAATGATGAAGTATATGTTTTGCTCTAATGATTGAATATGCATTGGTCCACAAATATCAGTGTGAACAATTTCTAATGGCTTCTTAGCACTCCATGCTTTGTCTGATGGAAATGGTCATCGAAGTTGTTTACCGAACAAGCATCTTTCACAGACATCATTGATTTCCTTTATTATAGAGAGATCTTTTATCATGTCTTTTTGGTGAAGAATCTTCAGTCCATGAAACTTGAAGTGTCAAGTCACTTGTGCCAAAATCCATGACGCATCTATTTGTGTCTTCATTGCCACATTATTTATGTATCCCCACTGAATGGAAAAATGCATGTTCTCTTTCATCTTGATCTTTGCAATTTCAAGAGTTTGTCATTCTTGTCATATATTATGCAAGCATCTCCCTCAAGATTCAAACAGTATTATTTCTCGATCATTTGACCTATTCTGAGAAGATTTTGATTAATGTTTGGGACTAAGAGTACATCATTGATATATCTCTTCTCTTTTCTTGTGTTAATGGTTATGGCGCTTCTTCCTCTTGCCTCCATGAAATCACCATTTCAGATTTTGACTTTTGTCCTGATTTTTTTCAAGACTACAAAATATTTCTTCATCTTTTGTCAAGTGATTACTACAACCAATATCTAGATACCATGTATCTTTCTTCTCTTCTAGTGCAACTTGACAAGCATTGCAGAGATTTTAATCTTCATTTTTCTCTTCTACGAAATTGGCTTGTTTATTTTGCTTTAATCAACAAATATTTTCCATGTGCCCAAATTTTAGCACTGTGGTTTTCCTTTAAACCAATCTTTATTCCAATGAATTTCTTTTGCAAATGTCACATGGAAGATATTTGTCACCTTTTCCTTGATTATTTTTTAATTTAAAATTTTCTTGTAAATTTCACCCACCTTTTGATTTATGAGACCACAAATTTGTTTTAGATTGAAAGACATTTTTTGTAGCATTCTCATTTCGCCTATTCAACCTTTTTTCGTATGCTTCAAGAGAGTCCACTAATTTTGTTGGTGATAAAGTTTCTAGATCCCTTGATTCTTCAATTGCAAAAATTATTGTATTATATTTTTCTGTATAGGATATTAGTATTTTTTCTACTATTTTCTTGTCATAAATGGTTGCTCCATAGGCATTGAGTTGATTAATTATTTCATTTATCTTGAAATAATAATTTTTTGCAGTCTCTTTATTTTTCATTTTAATATTATCAAAATCTTGTTTGAAATTTTGTAATTTGATGGAGCATACCTTTTTAGTTCTTGAAACTCCTCCAATAACGTGTACCACGCTTGCTTTCCAATTGATGCACCCATGACTCGAGGAAAGATGTCATCTGTCATTGCTTTTTGTAAAATAAATAATACTTATAAGTCTTATTGTTGATTCTCTTCAAGCTCCTTTTGAATTGTTGAAAAAGTTGAAGTATCTTCCAGAGTATTAAATCTTTCCTTAATGATCTTCCGCAAATTTTGAGAGCGAAAATAGATCTTCATTTTGATGAACTAAAAATTATAATTTTCTTCATTAAAAATTGGAATCGAGACAGATGAGTGGTTGAAGTCGAGGATTATAGAAATATTGAAATTGTAGAACGCCCAACGAATAATCGAACGAAGCTCTAATACCAATTTAGTTGGAAATTTTGAAGAGAATGAGAATTGTATTACTAAGCTTTGCTGAGTAGTTTTCAGCTTACAAGACAAGTTCTGCCTATTTATAGGCATAAGAAACTAAATCTAGAATCTTCTAAATTCTTATAGTTTTTTTCTAGAAAAACATATCTAGATTCTTCATATTTAAATATTATTGAGTAATCTCATTTAATATAAATATGCTAGAATCTTCTTCTTAAGACTAAATAGAATATTGGATAAAAAGCATCAATCTTATCATAAACCCTAATACAACACACACACACATATATATAAATGAAATGTCTAAAAAAGAATGAATGATAATAAAAAAAAACATAAAAAAAGGAAATTGAGATTGATTCGGCCAGTCTCCCGCAATCACGAGAGCTGCGAAGCTTGCATCCCACAACCGAAGCGGAGAGCTCCCACATGAAGGACCACCCCAACAATTTTGTACAATTATTTAATAAATAAAATGATAGCATAATGGTGCAGCAAAATAAATCTCAAATAATTACCTATCCATAACAAGACGAACAATGTACTCCTTGGGCATATTTGGAAGCTGCCGAGCAAATATATTCTTCAATCCTATAAGCCTGCAAAAGATAGAAGCTGGTGAGCAAATAGCATAAGATCGAACTAGTATTAAGCAGACACTTTAAGCCTTCATAACTACAATGCTTACATATAAGATAATGATGTTTAAAAAGAAAAGAAATAAAAACATACCATATCATATGTTCATCTACCCCATCATTGGCATAGCATAGAAATTTAAGCTTTCCAGCATCTTCCTAGACAAAAAATCAAGATAATCAATTTCATTATAATCCTAACATAAGAAAATAAACATGAAAAGCACTTTGATCTTATATATTCAATGCCCGGTCAAACAAATCAATCTTAATTGTAGAAACAAAAACAACAATGAACTATTAGAAAAAGAAATCCTCAGTTGTTCAAGCCATTCACACTGCCACACCACTCAAAGGTGATGTTGGGATTAATGGCAGAAAGAGTCAACAGGTTTCTTTTCAGACAGTCCCCCAAAGTGGAACTAAGCTTAACCGCAGTACCAAAGAAAAAAATCCAACTGTACATGAAATTTTCATGGAGTACTTTATGGAGACAAAAATGAGTTTTGAGTTCTCTCCTGGTGGCATGTTTAGAATCACGGAATTTATTCTGCGCCAAAACTAAGTCAATAACTTCTTCTCTTTCAATTCCGTTCATAGTTAATGGCTTCAAGGTAGCTAAGAAACATATTTCTCTTACATAGCACTGCGCTAACCAACCTGTACTCGACTTTCAAGCCTTTTGAGGCACCCTCTTGCATTGAGATGATGACTGACAATGAGAGTTAGCATATCTGCCATTGATTCAAGCTAAACTAGTAGTTTACTTTATGTTAATGAAATTAGAAATGAATCACGAAATTAGTTTTGTAATTTAACCTTGGAATTTTGCAACTGAGAGGCGAATTGCCCATTGAGCAAATCAAGGCATATGGTTCAGAAGGCATGTCAAGGAAAATTACTCTTAAGTACTAGATAGAGTGGTAGTTTAAAGTTTCATGTAGTTCCATTTTTGTTGTTAGAAAGAGCAAGATTGAAAAATATTATAAAGTTACAGATTAAGAGATGTATTTTAATTAAATATATTTTCATCGTTATTAATTTAACTTTGCTCTCTTTTTTTTCTAGGTGAAATGCATGCTTCTATAATCCCATACATAACCAGTCAATAATAAAAAAAATTCCAAACCTAATATGTAACTCGCTATTAATCAGTAATAACGAGAAATTTCTGCAAAGATGTTATCAAAGCAGACCATAGGTTTCATTCATCTCTCATTTCATGAAGGCCAAACCCTTTGATACTTACTGACTTCAAAACTACAATGATGAATCCTCAACATAAAAACAGCACAAATGCGTAAACGCAAATAACGACGATGACGCTGCGAGACAAGAAAAAGAAACAGTACAAGACACAAGAACAGCTCTCTAGAGGAGAGTGGCAGCCCTGAAGGGAAGGACAGAAGTTCCGGTCGTGCTGGAAGGTGGACGACAGCATGGCGCTGCAGCACCGGATGATGGAGTGCCAGTGGCCTGATAGAAGAGCAAGTGGCCGAGGCCTAGAAGAGAGTAGGGGAGGTGACAATGGACTAGACAGCAGCAGAAGTCAGTTCCGGGGACTGGACAGCAGCAGGGACCGGTGTCTAGGGGCTGGCCAGCTGCAGGAAGAGGATCCGAAGGCCTGTGTGGCTGCTGGGAGGGAGCTAGACGGGAGGCCGGCTGGAAGCAAGGCCAGCAGAGGGAATAGGCTTGGAAGGCCTGCGCAGCTACTGGAAGACGGCTGGAAGCAAGGACAGCAGTAGCAAAAGGGCCGGAAGGCATGTGCAGTTGCTCGAAGGTGACAGGAAGCAAGGACAGAAGCAGTAAAAGGGCCAGAAAGCTTGTGTGGCAGCTGGAAGGAGGCTGGAAACAAGGACAGCAGCAGGAAGAAGGATAGAACGCCTATAATGTTGTTGAAAGGCCACCGGTAAGCAGCAAAAAGAGAGGTCGGGGGCTGCACAGCAGCTGGGTGGTTGGACGGCAGCAGGGGTAGGAGGAATAGGAGAATAAGCGGAGGTAGTCACCAGCTTGGACGAATTACAACTGAAACACCTTTTCGTTGTCGAATAAAGCCCTCGAAAGGAAGATAAGCTGGAGGCGAAAGTCTGAAAGCAGAGATAAGCAAGAGAAAAAAAAAATCTCCTCTAACCTAAGCAAACACCATATATATAAAAGGGATTAGTAGATTGAATAGGCAAGAAATAGAACAGGAAAGGGGATAGAATAAGTAAGAATCAAAAGGAAGGGAAAGGGGTTGGAGAGTGGGGGGTGGGGGGGCAAATCCCGCTCCAAGTTCCAGGATAAGTCCCGCGTCAGTAGACGCGAGAGGGGGAGAGGAAGAAGCCCGCAACAGTCTCCCGAGGCTGGGGGAGCTTCGAATTTATCTGTCAAAGCTTTTGAATCTTCGTAATACGGCGTCAGATCCGCCACATTGAACGTGGCATAAATATTGCAGTCCCCTGGTAGGTAGATCTTGTAAGCATTATCGTTTAGTTTCCAAAGTATTTTGAAAGATACTTCCACTCTGACTTTGAACTTTTTGAATGTTCCCACTGGGAATCTTCCTTCTTCAATCCAATCCACACAAAATCTTTGTGAAACGCCCCTTTTTTCTAGACTTAATTGTCTGTCTGATATTTGTGGTTCTCCTTAGCCTCCTCATGGATTTTATGAATCTCGTGAACCCGTTCTTCACCATCTGTGTTGATTTTTTATGTTGCCAGAACAGTACCAACTCAAGTGGCATGAGTGGGTTGCGCCCGTACACAATCTTGAACAGAGTGTGTCCTATAGTTTGACTCACGGAATTGTTGTATGCAAACTCAACTTTAGTTAGAATTAGATTCCGCTGCTTGATGTTCTTTCCCATGAAACATCTCAGAAGGTTTCCTAGACTGGTTTACTACCTCTGTCTGACCATCAGTCTGTGGATGAGCTTCTGAACTGAATTGGAGCTTGGTGCCTAGCTTCCCCCACATACTCCGATCAGAAATTGGACAACTTTGTCAGTGTTGATGGTCCTGGGAATCCCATGCAATCTTACGATCTCTCTAAAACATAAATCGGCAACATGAGACGCATCCAGTGTTCGGTGGCAAAGTACGAAATGTGTCATAAGTCCATGTCCTCTGCGTCCTCAAAAGATCCACCACGAAGTTCATGCTAACATCCACTCACGGTGCCTCTAATACTGGTAATAGAGTGTACAACCCAGCATTATGCCAACTTATCTTTGTCATATGACAAATCATGCATTGTCAGACGTGTTGCTCCACAGTCAAGGTCAAAAGAAATACTCTCAAGAGGGCATGAGTCTTGTTCCAGCCAAAATACCCTATTAATCATCCACTGTGACTCTCCTGAACAATGGTCTCTCTCAGCGAACATCTAGTAATGCAAAACTTACTCTAGTAAAACAAGTAGCCCTCCGCTTGATAGCATTGTCGGTCGGGTTATCCTGACAGTGCACCTAAATTTCTTTGAAGTCCCCATCAGTCTCATGCAAGACCTTTACTACCTAGAAACCCATAACTTGAGTTTGCATCTACATGATCAACCAATGATGATGGCTCAATGTGTCTGCTACGCGGTTCTGGCTTCCCACCTTGTGCTTAAGCACAAATTGGAATGATCTTAAGAACTTCTGTGTCGGCCCTTCAGTTTGCTCTAGCTGTTGAGAAATTTCAAGGTATGTAGTCCATAAACAGCGTAAACTCGCTCATTAGCAGAAATGACTTCAGTGCTCCAAAGCTCTTATAATAGCATAAAATTTCTTGTCGTATGTTGAGTACTTCCCTCAGGAACCATTCAGCTTTTCACTGAAAAAGGTGATGATTTGCCCCCTGGCTCAACATCGCTCCTATTCCCATGTCGGATGCATCACACTCCGCCGGTTGAAATCTGGCAATGTTAGAATTGGTTCCTGAGTCACCTTCTGCTTCATTGTGTCAAAGCTGGTTTGAGTGACAGCCATCCAAGTGAACTCTTTCACTTTCAAAAGATTTGTTAGAAGGGCGATGATAGTGCTGAAATTCCTCGTGAATTTGAGGTAGAACGATGTTAGCCCCAAAACTGTCTCAGCTTGGTGAACAACTATGATGCGGTTCGGTTTATAATGGCCTCGGTCTTTGTAGGATATATATTAATGTCTGCACTATTCATAATATAACCCAAAAAGCATACCCGGTCTACATGAAGTGGCACTTCTTTGGATGGGTATAAAGCTTCTCCACGTGCAATGCCTCAAACACCACCCTCAGGTGTTATAAGTGTTCCTCTTCAAATCAGCAGTACACCAAAATGGCATCAAAGTATACCACCATAAATTTCTCTATGTGAGCTTGGAATACCTGATTCATCAACCTCATAAAAGTATTAGGTGCGTTTGACAAGTCCAAGGGCATAACAATCCACTTGTATAAATCATCTAGTATTTTGAAAGTGGTCTTCCGCTCGTCTTCTAGCCTCATCTAGACCTGGTGATACCCACTACGTAAGTCGCCTTGAAAAAGATGTTGGCTCCATGTAACTTGTCCAAGATATCGTCCATGCAAAGTATGGGAAACTGACACTTGACGGTGATCTTGTTGATGGTCATATTGTCGATACACATCCACCGTGACCCGTCATTCTTAGGCGTCATCAAGGCAGGAACAACACACGGATTGGTGTTCTCTCTGATTAAGCCCCATACAACGAGATCCTGCACCTGTCGTTGTACCTCCTCGTGCTATGCAGTCTCAATCTATAGATTCAGCAACACTGATCCCGGTATATGATTTGTGTTATGTTGAATGTCCCTCAGTAGTGGTAATTCCTCAGGAAGATTGTTAGTCATCACATCCTGAAAGTCCTGTAGCAATGGCTATAGTAGCGTTGGTATCTCACTCTCCTCATCAGCTCCTTTTAGGAGAACTAATGTCAGTGCCACTGGGACATCTCGAATTGACTCCAGAAAGGTGGCCTGTGGGACTAATGCTTCCTTTATATAGTCATGCCTCTTGCATCCTTAACTGGTAATAAAACAATGTGTTTCCATCCTTCTTGAAGGAATAAGTGTCCATGAAGCCATTGTGCTATGTCTTACGGCCGAATTATCAGGGCCTACCCAACAAAATATAACAGGCATTCATCGAAACCACATCACACCATACTTGCTCATATAGCCTATACCCAAT